ACTTACAACAAGACAATTCCTTATATCATTTACCATGTCATTTTCTGCGACATCCGGACGTCGTCATCCCGTCCACAAGTGGCATTTTGCCAACACCTTTTTTGGCCTTGCTTACTCGTCCGACGCTGAAAACAGACTCCATTTCTTAGCCGTCTTTTGTTTACTTGGGTGTTGAAAATCGCGATGATTTTCAATGTGAAATTTCGGCAAAAACTAAACGTGGTTAAAATAAAACACAGGATGATTCTTACAGTGGTAGAAAAGAAATAACAGAATAAAAGTAAATTCTAAAAAGGACTAGAGAAGAATGAGAGATATGGTTATTTCATTATTACTTTAATTCTTTGACTGACATATTCTTCTGGATATATCTCTCATTATTTTCCTTATAGTCCTTTTTAGAATTTATCTTTATTCTGTTATTTCTTTTCTGTCTCCGTTAGTATCATCCTGTGTTTTCCGTTTATATGTACGAATTTCATGTAAAAATACATCTATCTGTATAGCTCTTTGTACATTTTTCTGTTGATGAACTGAACAGGTTTAGTTAGATGCTTCGAAACCTTAAAATCGAAGATAAAAGGTGTGAATAATTCCATATAGCACGTACTACGCACTATATAGAATCGCATTTAACAATACAAAACAACATGTTTTTTATCGATTTTTTCTGGATTCAAGTCCATTCAAGATTCTTAAAAGTTTCACCTACGTTTTTTGGAATCATAGGTTTCTATGATTATTTTTCATAAGTACGATGCGCATTGAATGCAGATTCTATAGTAGAGAGAGCGACCCTTAGTTCCTCATCCTCGCTCTGCTACACATGTTTCAATTGTGAGTGCTCGTTCTCAATGAATTTCCATCATTACCTTCATACTTTGACTGGATAGTCGTCGAAGAAGACTTATTAGCATTTTGCTGAAAAGAAGTAAAAACGAAACAAAGATTGCTCGATCTAGCTTTTAACGCTAATTCGAAATATGATGTTAGTTTGGAGAAAAAATTGAAATTTGATGGTGAAAACTGCAAAATAAGAGTACATCTTCTTGATTTTTCTTGTAGAAAAAGCTTAAAAATTTTCGAACCCCAGTCCAAAGCACTATGAGCCTATACCAGTGTGGGGTTTTTCACTACTCACTATGGCCTACATGATGACAATAGTCCGAGTCGAGAACCAATTTATCACCTCAAAGGTTTTCCTCGTGAAATAACTTTTTGTTCTGAAACAGTTCTTTGTTATTCAGTGGCGTCTATCTCCATCTGAACATTTGGATCGTTTTGTACTACCTGGGATATTCGAGCTCCCAGTGTACCACCTGAACAACGAAATTCTACAGCAAAAAGTGTCTCACCTTACTCTTGTTTAGGCAGTGAGCGTCAAACGTTCTAAAGGATAGACGCCCTGTCGTTATTCGTTTTCTTTCTCTTTAATTTTCGCACATTTGACCGATTATCCTATGTTTAACTATAGAGTCTCACTTAATTGTGAAATATGTTAATGCTACTGATGGTCCTTGAGTTGTTCCTCTCCCTTCAATAAAATTTCTGTTCCTCTTGATTATCTTTCAGAAAAACATTTTCAAATTTTCTCTTGTCTAAAGCTCAAATATTAACCATGTTACAGTTTCCTTAGTTGATATTTGTATCTTTTTAGTTTGTTCTTAAGTTCGTATTTTCTTTTCAACTGCTTTTTATTTGATTGTTTGTTTGTGTTTCGGTAAAGAGCAGCTAAGTGGTTACTTTGTAAACAAAAATAAGCAAAAAACAACCAAAACTAGGCTATGAGAACTATTTAACAGCGTTTAATGAACACTATTTAGATGCTCCTTTGTCCTAATTTTGCAGCTATGCTTTCGAATAATAGAAAGAAGCGCATCGCGTCACTAAATTTCCCTTCGATTCTGTTTCTCTAAATCTTAAAAATATAAACTAATAGATAAAATGGAAGAAAACTACCTTTAGTTTGTCGTGTTTTCACTTTTCAAAGGAATGTTGCTTATGCAAAAGCTCTTTGATTGTTTTCGCCATAAACGATAAATTTCGAAGTCCTATAGCGACGTTTTTCTCTGAAAAAACTTCGTTCAGATCTAAGTGAGCACTGAAAAATCTAACATTCAAAAATTTACCTCAAAGTCTGCTATTGTTCTGCAGGTGAATTTATGGAGGAAGCGTCAGGTAACTTTCGCAGGTGAATCTGACACAGGTGTCATTTCTCATAAAAATAAAAACAGACCGAGCTAAAAAGGTGCTATTTTGACCTCGTTATGCAGCACTTTCCAGGAGTTTCGAATCTGCACATTCAAATAACTGGATCTTGCAAAGCATCAGAGAGGAGAAAATCGGTGTAAGCTTAATGATTGATTTTGCATTGTGCACCTAATACTGATTGATAGAGCTTTTCAAAGACTACAAAATGCGTACATATATTCTCTTCTTTTTATCATCTAACGCAATGAAAGTGGTTGAACAAAACGTTCTTTGGGCCTAGAAAGTTGGTCCTTTCAATCATGTTGAGTATTCTTCGTTTCATTTTTCTCCTTAACGTTTTATAGAAACAAGTTTAATCAAGTTTTGTAAAGAATTTGGCGGCGCATCTTTTGGAAAAACAAGCAAGTCTAAGAATTGAAAAGAAAAGAAATTATGAGCAAAATACGAGGAGGGCCGTTTATTCTGGGCCACCAGATATGGGATAAACATCCGGATTTCATAGAAACAGAGAAAACGAATTATCGTTATCGATTTGATTTTCTTGGTTTTTATAGCTATATTTATTCTGTTGGTTTGGCTTTTAAATATTTGTTATAACACGATCATAGTAAATATACAGTCTTCAACTTAGTTCAAGTGATTCACTCTCCTCGCTACATCTTGTTTCATGATGTTTCTGTTCTAGTCTACGCACTAGTTCTTAATATCCCAGGTATACAAATTTTTTGACGAAACAGACATATCAATTCTTTCATTTCTGATTATTATTTATTTTACGATTTCTCACCGATACACGTTAGTCATCTGATTTTTTTTAAGCATTTATACATTTTTGTTCTGTTAACCATGTAGGTACAAATATGAAAGTAAGAATTTTTATAAAGACTGTAAATCGAGAAATAATGAAAGAAATGAGAAAAAATGTATTTTTGCCCGTCACTGAATTTTTGACATTTTAAAAGGAGGAAAAAGAAAAGACGAAAATGCAAAGAAAAGAAGAAGGCAAGAAATTCAGTGATTTATTATGGGAAAAAGAAGAAAAATGTACAAAAGTCTCATAAAATAGTACTGGTGAACGAATATAGAGAAAGACGAGAAAAAGAAAAACTTTAAAGGGTCAAGCTATGGTAATGCGTCGGAAAGAATGAAAAATGGGACCAATTTATACTTATTAAAAAGTAATGTTCTATCACGTTTTTATATTACTTTTAATTTTATATTCTGCAATCGGTGAGTAAGATTTAGTTCAAGGTCATTTACACTTTTGATGACTAGAACGGTTTCTTAATTAGATGTACGAAGCACATATAATCGTTATCGTCGACAAATTTCTAATGGAGGGATAACAAATACAGGTATAAGACAAGGACCAGGTTCACCATTTCCAGGTTTAAATAACAAAAATGTCGGTGAACAACAGAGACCGTCGGACTATTCTGCAAATTCGAAAAGTAGTAATCAATGGCAATATTTTGAAATGAGCGATCCACCACAAACATTTAATCCTGCATATAATGCGCAACAACAGATAAATGAAAACAATTCTCCACAAACCTCTGATTCTCTACAACAACAAAAACCCATAATTCACGGTCAACTACAAGCTTCAAATGATCGTAATTTTCAATATCAACAACGAATGAATCAACAGAATAGCTATCAAACTTTTCTCAATAACAATGCTCAAAAACTACAATATGGCAATAACAATAACAAAGCACCTTCTCCAGAATTTTATCAACCGGGTAATATTCATATGTCTGAATTTGTCCCGAATGACTGGCTTGATAATGAAAATAAAGAATGGTTTCCAAGTAATGGCTTCTATGCTGGTGATCTACCGAGGTGATTACTTCACTTATGTTTTTTGTATAACGTTTTAGTAATACTGTCGTGTTTTTATTACAGTTTGACGAGCAATATAGAAAATTTTAGAACAAGTACTGATCAACTTTTCACTTCAAAATTAGCAAAATATTTTCGATCTAGGGGAAAGAAATCATATTCAAAATATGAGAGTAAGTTAGATATTTCCTTTCAGCATGTGGATTTCAATTGAACAATTACTTTTAGTTGCTAATGGACGTGAAACAGTTTGTACACATTTATACGACTTTGATGGATCCTCTTATAAATTTGGTTATTTCCCTTGTCCTCTACCAGACACTGATCCTTCGACAATGTTTTGTTGTGGGCAAAAGAATCGTCAGTATTGTTGTAATATACAGTGAGTATTATTCAGTTCTCGTTTCAATCATGCATCTGTTTCTTTTTGTCATAGAGAACGCAATATTGAACAATGGTTCAGACGGTACGGTTATACTGGTGAATGGTTAAAAAAATCTGAACGGAAACAAACACAATCAAAAACAGTTATTTTAGCTATAGTATTACCAGTATTAGCTGTTTTATTACTCCTAGCGCTAGGGTTGTTGATTTTCTCCTGAAATATATTCGATCAATAGAATGTATTAATACAATACGTATACAAGTGAGGATTGACAGTGTTATGTATTGTTATTACGAAGTTATTTTGTCTCCCTTAGATTCTCTCGCAGATCTGACAATAGTAGTCCCTTGAACGAAAAAACTATTTTTATTTTAGATTACCACCAACAGTTGGACGATAACAGTGGATCAAGATCACATAATATCTAAGAGTTAACACATTTTTCTATATAACTAACTGATTAACTTTAGAACACGATCTATTTTCACTGCTCATTCTGTACAAGATATGAGTTCCGTCCTTCTGATTACTCTAAATGCTATCAAGTCTTTCTTTTTCTGTTTTTCCTAACACCACATTTTTTTGTAATCATAAAACTCTCCTTCCTTACGAAAATCTCAATATTTGACTAATATCGTTGTAACTTTTCTATTTAAAATATTTTCTTTCACTTTGCTTTAATTGTTTGTTTTTATTGCGACCTTATTTTGGATACAGAAGAATAGTTTTCTTTGTTTCATCGTACAGATTTGTTCAAGTAGAATATTATCTTAGCCTATTGGTAAAAAAGTGCGTATTTTTTATTCTTATGGAAAATTTGAACAGAATCAGGCAATACAAGCAAATGATTTGCAGATAATTGCAACATTTTTTCTATTTAGCTAGAGCAAAAAGGTTAGGATAAGCTGCATTAGCGCAAAACCGACTTTTTATACGGGGAACAGAATTGGTTCAAATTTTTTTTCTGAAGAGTTTATTATGTGAATCGACGGGCAGCAAAGTATCTCTTGATTCAAATCCCTTTTCGCATTTTGGCGCGAATAGTAGCGCGTTTTAAGTGGCGCCACTATTCGCGCCAAAATGCGAAAAGTGATTTGAATCAAGA